GGAAAGAGTTTAATAAGTCACATTAGGAGGAGGAGCAGTCGAGATGTTGGCCTAGGAATCCCAGCATCACCCTGTCAGTCATACAGTAGCCAGCCCATCGTCTCACCAGCTTTGCAGGACAATATAGTGGAGCATAGCTGAGACATCAATAGATTTTTGGCTTTGTGCCTCGGGAAGTGCATGAATTACATTTAATCAAGCACACGTGCCCTACAGGTACTGTAAGACATACACTATATTACCAAAATTCTACTATCCAAATTATTGACACACTCCTAAAATATGTGGAAGAGTTGAAGCTGTTATAGTTGCAAAGGGTGGTCCAACATCATCAACTTAAGTTTATGTGTTTGTGAAGGCAGACAATCAATACTTTTGGCCATATAGTTCAATTCAATTTAATCTATATAGCACCAAATCCCAATAACAGTTGTGTCAAGGCCCTCCCCATAATACAAAGAAAAGCCCAACAATCATATGACCCCCATGAGTAAGTGCTTTGGCGACTGTGAGAAGGAAAAACGTCCTTTTCATACAATTAAATAACAATGTGTAAATGTATGGTTTGTGTTGTGTTTGTGCAACAAACTATAGTTATCCATATGGTACGGTGCTTTGTTCCTGACTGAAATCACTGCTCACACTGTTGCTGAAGTTTCAACACCTGAAACTAAACATTTCCATGTTAACATCATTGATTGTCCCACCAATCAGTGTTTTGATTTAGGGCTTTAAGAAGAGTAGTTCAAATGTGGGAAATGATACATCATCAACAACTATATAGTTTTGTTAGTAATCAGTGAAGTTACATTTCAAATGTTTTTATATGGCCTTTTAAAATTGTACTACATTGTCACTACTACCCCTGAATGGCGACCCTATAAAGATCAATACATCAGCTTGTGCATGTGACTGAAAACTGGAAAATGTATATCCTTCTGATTTAGTGCAAGACCATGACGATTTGTAGTTAGCTTTCCCGAGCTCTATCATGAGGTCGAAATTCAGTTTGTACCGTACAAAATATATTGTTCCATATCCTGTCTCATGTAAAAGTTACAAAATCTTAGCATTTATGCACAGCGTTTAACATTGTAAATGTGTCAGTGTTCGAATTTCAAGTATTTTTATACTTATCTTTTTATAGTGATGTATAGCTGTTTTAAATGTTTTAAATAAAAAGCTGTAATTGTTTGTATCACTTTGGTGGAACTTTGGTATTAAACTCATAAACATTTTTAAATGACTGGATGAATTTAGAGTGGAATTTAGCTTATTTGTCTTTTCAGTCACTTTATTAACCTTTTTGTAAGAAGAAAAGATGCCATAGATAGATGGCCCCGTACTGCCAATTCATACTGTACAGCAGCAGTCCCCAACCTTTTTTGCGCCACGGACCGGTTTATGCCCGACAATATTTTCATGAACCGGCCTTTAAGGTGTCGCGGATAAATACAACAAAATAAAACTAGTACCAGTACCGAAAAAAAGAAAATTTATTCATAACACACATGAAAAGACCAAGGAAAACCGAGTAAACGATAAAAACAATAACAAAATAACGCTGAAAACCGATAAAAACCCTGAAAACTATTGTACTAATTTCACACCTGAGCCTCAACTCTCGCGGCCCGGTACCAAACGACTCACGGACCGGTACCGGTCCGAGGCCCGGGGGTTGGGGACCGCTGCTGTACAGTTTTTAGACACCAGAGGGCAGGGTAGCACTGATTTTGAACAGGAGCCATGAAACCACAATGCAGGATTATGCTTTTCAGGTCCTGTCCTCCAGTAACACTTTAAATCTAAACTGCTGATTGCCCAACCACCTATCTGAGTGATTGGATTTGATCATATCTGATATCCATTTTGATTGACTATCTCATCACTGCAATAGCAATTGTTTGCTTTCATCACACTGAGCAGAACACAGACTAACGTATAATGTAGGCCACAGAAGGGTGGGATTACCATAGAGGTAGTTGTAATTTGAAAAGAATATTAGACAGTGGAGAGCCAGAATATAAAGACAGAGCAGGATTAAACAGGTCAGGCAAGCATAAAAAATTCCTCTTTCCCCTCAGATTTTCACTTTGAACAGATTATCATTCTTTCTCCACCTCTGCTTATGACTCACTTCTTTTTTCCCCTTCAGTAATCATCTGTTTCTGACTGCATGTTTGCGTTGATTTCCAGCAATGATTTATTTTGCTTTGTAAACGATAGAGTAAAAGAAAAAGATCACAGTAAATCAAAGACACAGAAAAAAGAAAAGAAATGCAAAAAAAGGAAGACTCAGACAGGGATGGAAAGTGTTGCCTAAGCCTGGCATTTCGTTTATTAGTTTTACAATACACAGGGTTGCAGAACAGTCAAAGTAATTACTAGCATGAGGGGAAGTAGAGTTTCTTCTGTATTCTGTCTATTAAGTAATTTTTTATTATCATTTTTTTGTTGCCCAATATTTACATTCTGCTTATTTGATAATACTTTGTATATTTGATTACTTTACATATTTTTTATTGTTAGCCAAATAGTGTGTTTTGGGTTTGTTTGGGGTTTTTTTCTTGGTAATTGTAAAAATCTGAGGAAAGCATGAATAACCCTGAGTTATTGATATTTTACAAAAACTGTATATCCTAGTATTTAATCCACTACTGTGCTAACAAATTAAATTTCATATTCTATCTAAGTGATCGAGTGTTGAGTGGAGAGAGGGGCTAATCTTTATAGTCTGAATATCTCTTTAAATTCTCAATAATTCTCAGTAATTGTCAAAACCGAGAGATGTGAATCTAAAGATGAAAGATATAGAAGTAATAAAGATTAAAGGGTACTGACAGTCAACAAGAGACAATGAAACAGCAGGCCAACAGTGAGAACACTCGCAGCATAATATGCAGCAAATGATATCATCGGAGAGATTATATAAAATCTAAAAAAAGAGAAAAGGATGAAAAAGAGTATGGTGAGGTTAAGTATTGCTTTAAAGTATGTAATGCACTGCTAGAGCTGACAGATGCTGCCTAGAGAATTAAGCAAAGCTGAGGTTTATCACAGTGAATTTCCCATGACCATCATGTACTTAAGTGTATGCCTATGTGCACATTGGGTGATAAAGGTACAAACTGTCATATTCATATGTCTATACTACAGTGCCTCAGCCTTGGGGATAAGGGGAAGAGCTCAGAGTGGAGCTAGTGGTCCTCTGCAGCCCAGACAGATTGGTGAGATAAAGCATTGCCCCTCAATAATTCAAAACAGATGATTGGATGTATAACAAAGTGTTCTTCAAAGTATTTCTAAGCATTAGTGTAGAAATTTCCAATTTATATGGCTTTTTTGGTCGTTACAATGTGAGGAGTGTCTAGCTGCTACCAAAAACCTCAAATCAAACTGTTAAGAGCATTTTTCCTTTAAATGTTACACAGTTGTTGACAGAAAAAGTGTAAATTTGGTATAAGATACAAACCAACTAAATACTCTCAAATCCCAAGAACATTAATATTTATAAACAAGATAACACAATACAAAAGAACAGGTGACATTATGATTTATACATGCTTACTGACAGTGGCGGTCCTAGCCTGTTTCGCGCCCCGGGCGAATACTCCCTCTGGAGTGTTCACACAAACACACACATATGAAGAGAGAGAGAGAGTATGTATGCAAACGGCTACCAAACAGCCATCATAATTCCTCATACAATGAGAACAGGACAAATCAACAATTGACAATGACTAAATATTAAAATCTGTAACATAATGTATTGTTTGGAGTTTAGTCTGTCACTGTTACTATTTTTACCATTTCTTCTTGGACCAACCCACATAACCCACATAATTTCCTTAGGGATTAATAAAGTATTCTGATTCTGATTGTTTCAGGATGACCTGCCATTATCCAATGACACATCTACTTACCTGTATCTTTTGCTCGTTTCTCCTCCTCTTCTTTTCTCTTTTCTAAACTGAGGACCTGATGGCTCTGAACTTTTCTTGTCCATCTTCCATTGGATTTAATTTTGCACTCCAGTATGAACACCCATCCCTCAACCCCAGGATCACCACAACATAACCTAATAGACCTACACCTTAGTTCACAGATTCACTTTGTCTAGGGTGCATTTCTGAGATTTCACACAACCCAGGATTTAAATCATGAATACATAATGGGCTTGGATTTACAACATTATGAATGTTGTGTGTGAGCCTTTAAATCATCAAACTGTAAATTTTAAATTTCAAATTGTTATTGATCCCTTTACCCCGAGTCCTAAAGTGTATATTTATTTTCTTACTCTTCTTATATTTATTGTTTGTTTACTTGCACTGCTGTAACTGGAGCCTTGTCGTCTCTTCTCTCTATATACTGGACTGTATGTAGCGGAGATGACAATAACGTTTACTTTGACTTCAGCAGCGAGCAGGCGCACGGAGGGCTCTTCCGCTCACTTTTCGAGTATAGAATTTCGAAAAAACATCAGTGCAAATTATAAGTCTGTATCATAATGTCCGCTGTTTTCGTGTTTGTTGGTTTGTTTGTTTTTTTGTTTTATTTTGCGAGTTGGTTATTAGATGCTGCTCAAGCCGGTCAGAGAATTCCCCACCTCCGCCCCCCTCCCCCCTCCTCCCTGCGCCGCCAGCAGCAGGCTCACCTCGCAAACGAAGGGCGCCCTTACCCCCAGCAAATGGGCGATAGAAAACCGATCGGTGCATATGTCATTCCCAGTATGCGCTGACTGACGCCGATGCCCGTGATGTCGCCCCCCACCACGATGCCGCCCCGGGCAACCGCCCGTGTCGCCCGTATCTAAAACCGCTACTGCTTACACATTCCAAAAATACTCTAAGTTATTTTATTAGGTATGTTGTATTCTTGTACAGCACTTTGGTCAACGCTCCTGTTGTAATTAAATGTGCTATATAAATAAATAAACTATAAACTAAAACTATAATAAAAGATCACATAAACTGGAGAAGTGGAAGTATTTTACTTACCCCTGCATAGAAGAATGAGTCATCTAGGGTTTTTGTATGGTTACGAAGAAACTCCTGACACAAAGGCTGTTTGTTTGTGTCAGACTTCGACTGTGGTCGAGGACACTTCTAAAAGTTTGCACTCCTCCTCTTTTTTACTTGCCACTGCACAATATGTCTCAGTGCAAGATCAGGCGTGTGTGTGTTTGTCAATGCTTGAAAGACAAAATTTCCTGTATTACATTAGCCTACATATAGTTGTAACTGAATTTCATTTACTTCTTTGAATTTTATTTTAAAGGAAGTACATTTTGTAATCTTCTTTCTTCATTTCTTCTTTGTCTTTAGGCAGAATTAAGGTCAAACATAGGTGAAAGTGTTAAAAGTTGATAACTGGTTCATTACTGCTGAACTGATCGATTCTGGCTCCATTCTGTTTTTTCTTGTATTCTGCTGGAATCAATGTGCATGATTCACAGTTTATACAGCTTCTCGATTCATTCTTTCTCTTAATCGAGCTGTTTTAGCAGCACCCCCTTTAAGCCTCTGTAACGCGTGGTTGAGCAGTGAAGGCAGAAATGAAGGACCTTTAAAAGAGTTCAGCAGTTCAAGCGTCTTTTTAACTGTCCCTTTCCCATTACAACAGTGGATTAGTGCAGCAGATTAACAGTGCAGGTCAATTTGGCCAAAACTAAGAAAATGACTTAAAGTAGATTGGAAAAAAAATGTAATTGGGAATCTCTAGCAATGAAGATGAAAGTCTCACAAATATATTAACTAAGAAAACAGATTTGTATCATGCATCAATTCAGTTGTGCCTTTGGCAGTACAGTCGCTGTGGCTTGCTTAAAACAGTTTTCTGAAATAAATGGATTCTTAAGAAAAGATGTCGATAGGAAGGAGATCCTCCCATAGGAAGAAATAACATTTTTTTCCACTATCCCAAGTGAATTATGTAACTAATCGAAAACCTGATTTCAAATATTTTGAAAACTCCCCGTCCTTCATGTCAATTTTGGCTGATTACACAGGAATCCATGGGTGACCAGAAAAGGAATTCAAAATGTTGCACAATGGTTTAGTTGTTCATGACTCAAACCAAAGGAAGTCAGCAAAAGTAGTTATTTAGAGTGGCGTGGAGCCTGAGCTTATGGCTTACAGGGATAACACATATTTATGACAACTTCATTATTGCAAACTCTCATGTTTAGCATGAGAATTCAGCAGTGAAACAGTAAATGCCACTAAACAAAAACACAAGGAAGGAATTACATGAAGACATAATTTGCGGTGCATTCAGAAATATACTCTGTTGTGGCTTCTGCTATCTTTTATCTTTTATGGTGTGGTCTGCTGGGGCGGCAGCATCTCTGCTGGGGACAGGAAGAGACTGAACAGGGTGATCCGAAGGGCCAGCTCTGTTCTAGGATGCCCTCTGGACCCAGTGGAGGTGGTGAGTGACAGGAGAACGGCGGCTAAGCTGTCATCCTGTGGACAACATCTCCACCCCATGCAGCAGACTGTGACAGCACTGAGCAGCTCCTCAGTGGGAGACTGCGGCACCCACGGTGTGGGACGGAGAGATTTCGCAGGTCTTTCCTCCCCACTGCTGTCAGACTCCATAATAAAGACTTTAACTGATCAAGCACACACATCCATACATATGCAATAATACTAAGTGCAATAATCCTTTCTGTCATCGTTGTATTTTTACTCAGTTGTATATAGTATTTGTATTTGTATTCTATTTTTATCTTATTGTATATTTATTTTATTTTATTCTACTGTATATAGTATTTTATTTTATTCTATTCTGTACAGTTGTGTACTGTATTTATTCTTATTGTATTCTAATTTTTGCCTCATAACTTTTGCACTGTCCACTTCCTGCTGTGACAAAACAAATTTCCCACGTGTGGGACTAATAAAGGTTATCTTATCTTATCTTATCTTATCTTATTCAGAAAGCACACATCAAAGTCACAAATATCTTATTTCTTTGTTCCCCAGTGCTCAGGACTTTCTATTTTATAGATATTTTAACAATACCACTGCTTAAAATTTAAAAGACCCAGGTACATCAAAGTGCTTCACAGATGAGCTACATTTGCAGGGTTACAATAATAAAGGAGCAAAGAAAATACAGTTATCATTACAGATGGTGGCGTGGCACAAGCGCAAACCGGGGAAAAGTTAAAATCTAATTTGTTTAGAAGGCTGGAAATGGATTCTGGGATATTGCATTTCATCATTTCGAGCTGATTGAAGACCAAAACAGCCAATCAGATTTTTTTGCATCCAAGTCTGGGATTGGTTGGTTTTGTTTCACAATTATAACGGTGTACAGAAAGAGTTGAATGCGCACGGGCAGAAATGTTGAGAGCGCAAGCAACACGTTGCAAGCAAGCGCAAATGTAAAAACTGAGCGAGAGGGGCTGCTATTGTGTGTGTGTATGGATAATAGAAAACACTGAAATACATCTTTTGCACGCAGCAATGAATTTTGTTCACTCAAATTTAGCTTTTCTTCGCTCAAAATAAATTTCTCCTCAAAATACAACACTTGCACCTGCAGATTTTTTTTTACGTGCACTCAGAATAGTGGCACAAAAATAACGCCATAGAATTTAAGCGTGCACATGACTCATAATAATAATAATGGGTTGCATTTATATAGTGCGTTTTTGGGACTGCTTTACAATACCACTATTCATTCACTCTCACATTCATACACTGGTGAAGGCAAGCTACAGTTGTAGCCACAGCTGCCCTGGGGCAGACTGACTCAACAGTTAAGTTATCAGTTTGCAATTCTCCCAGGCACAGAGACAAGAGGAGTTAGGCTACACGGTAAATCACAAACTTAACTAAAAATGCCCCACAAGTAACAACATGAAACTAATTTTTGTTTCACTTTTTCTACATATGTGAAGCCCAATTCCAATTTGATTAATGTGAGCAAAAGGGCCACATGCTTTGGTATATGTCTAACAGCATTATGGTCACAGATATTTTTATAAAATATTACATTTAGTCTGTTTAATCCATGTGCAGTTATTTTGATAGTACCAAAAACGTTCAGCCAAATGGAGCATATGCCACACAACTAACATAACTTTATTTTACCAATTTCAGTGTAAGTTCTCTCCCATTGTGTCCATCATTGTTAATATGTGTTTTGCAAATGTTTCGTCCTTGCTCCATTTCAAAAACAACACCAAATATTGAAACAGATGAATGGAATTCAGCCTCAATGAACATTTTCCAACTGTTTCTAAAAATGTCTTCTGTGAAAACAACTTTATATTTTAAACCACATAATGGTTTAAATGATAAATTACTGTAATTATGCAGAATGAAACATGTTGATAGTAGTTTGGCTTGGACGGAGACGGAAGTAGAGTGTTCTTCATAGATCCTTACAGCAACTGTGCTTCATCTTAATTTCTTCTAACCGCACCAGTTGGATTTTTCTCCTTTCCCACCCCGCTTTGTCATCTTTTTGGCTTCTCTTATGGGAAAACTGTAATTGCAGTTTCTAAATCATTTACTATTACCATTCCTGCCCCAACAAAGCTAGTAATTTGCTTTTTTATACACCCAGTAAGTGAAACATGGAAACATTATTTACAGAGATGTATTGCAGCATTAATCTGATAAACGTCTTAACCTTTTTAAAATAAGACAGACAGACAGACAGACAGACAGACAGATAGATAGATAGATCCCCCTACTGTAAATCTATACTGTACAGAGATATAGATGGGTTGCAGGATATGAAAGAAAACAACCTTCTTCTTCTTTTTTAATCAGCATTTTTCGTGTCTACATGTTGGGTCTTTTTCTGTTGATCCCTCCTCTGTTTTTCTTTGAAATCCTTTTGGATTCTCTTGTGGAATCATGTCGTTTTCTTTCCCTGAAACTATTCCTGCCCCACCTATTTTAGGAATGGTTCAGTTCTAAGGGAGTCCTTCCCTCTAGATCTATGTCTGCATCTTCACATTTTGGTCTCAGAGCCAAAATTTTAAGAGACTTCTTACTATCATTCTGTACACTGTTTTGCGAGATACATTTCTATATTGGGAATATAGTAAACAATGGGAAGCAGTATTAGGTCCAGAGGATTGAGGACAAGCCTACATCAACATCGGAAGAGACGAGATCAGAGTGAGAGTGAGCAAATAAATACGGGATTACTGGAGATGTCACAAACACAGACAGGAAATGGTGTCAGGCTCAAAAAAGATCTATGTTAACCACTGTCATTGACACACTTATAAACATCTCAATATTTTGATACCTGCTTGTTAATTGGTCAGTTTCTACATAAACTGGAAAGAGACATTTAAAAATATATTTATTTACATTTTGGGAAGACTTCTGCTTATAATAATCTGTGCCTTGATGGGCTTTTCTGGAGAATTTAGCACATGTGTGACACAGAAGTATTTACAGGGGAACAACTACGAGCAAAGGATAGTAGAAACACACCGATTGAAAAGTGAGTGAGGGATGTAGATACTGTACAGGAGGAGTGAAAGATAGAGAGAGTAAAACTGAGGGATGAGAGAAGGAGGAGCGATAGCAGCAGGAGATATGCCTCAGATGCTCTGGGGACAGATAAAGAGGAGGAGCGTGACACAGAGAGAAAGAGGACGTCTCTTTGAAGCAGGACTGTAAAAATGACTGATGTGAAAAATTCATCATCTGTGGAGTTGCCAGAGGGGAAGTTAATGAAGAAGGTCAGTGCATGTAGATGCAAAAATATGCAAACTCCTGTCAATGATGCTCTTAAACATCCCACGTGGTTTAACTTCTGAGGTCTGGCTGGTACTAATTTATTTTTTAAGTTAATGCCACAATGCTTAACGCTCATAATGTTACAAACCAAATGGAGTTTTATGCACTTAAACACAACATTATCACAGAAGACGCTTATATTTGTCAGAAACTAAACCATCAATGATCAACAGCTACATTTTTATTAATTTTGTGAGAGCCAACTTTTCTGAGTTGGTACATCATAAACTGTGTATTGAACGCTTATGATTTGTTTGTGCTCTCTTCTCCAGGGTTCAATCAAGAAGAAAATTGAATCATTCAGGAGATGGAGTTCA